AATCAACTAAAATAGAATAAATAAAGGAGAAAATACTAGAAAAGCCATAAAAACCAAAAAAATAAGAGAGAAAAGGGGAAATAAAGAGAAAATGCATAAAACTAAGCATTTATTTAGAAAGAAAGCTATGAAAACAAGGTGAAAACAAGGTAAAAACAAGCTAAATACTCATCAAATGAGTGTCATAAATGACACTTATCAATTTTCATAAATAGAGTAGATTTTTGAAAACAAAAGGAAAGATTTTTATTATGACGAGCTCATCACAAGACTTTTCACACTTTCACCTCGTTCGATAGTCAAGTGACGTGAAAAGTATTCATCACTGGGTTTTGTTTTTGAGGAGACACATTTGGTTGTCTACAACTTTTTATTTAATTTCAAAAACCATAATTAAATAGGAGAAATAATAATTTCTATTTAAACATAATTTTGCAAATTGATGTATTACTTATGCAATATGTTTTTCTTATAACATAAACAACTTAAATTACATAACTTGCTCCAATCCAAGACTTTAGTATGACTCTCATGCCTTAGTTTGTGGAAGGGGTTTAGTGATATTGTCACTCACAATAAAACTTAGCAAATTATGACATCTCGCTGGTCAATGATCTCATAAACGAGTCAATATCTCATATCTATTTGTTTGAATTTGTTATGTGACCCTTGCTCCTTTGTTTTAGCAAAGACATCCTTTTTGGTCATAGGACAATTTTATCCAAACTTCCTCCTTAACTACGTTTACTGCAGCTAAACACGCTGATGCAAGGCTCGGTGGGGATGTTTTTTCGATGCAGGGGAAGTGGAGGGGGCGGTTTTCGAGCAATGAAAGGGGAGGGAGGTGGTTATCGGGGTCTGGGAAAGGGAATGGGCGATTTTTGTGGTGTTTCGGGGGATTTTGTGGTGGCGTCTGCGTGGATTAGGGTGATTTTTGTGGTGATTGCGATGAAGAGGGGGTTAGGGTTTGGCCTGATGTCGTGGTGGAGGAAAGGGGAAGGTCGAGGTTAAGGGGGAAGTTGGTCGGCCGACGGTGAGGATGTTGGTCACCGGCCATACCTTCGCCGTCGAGGCCCGAGGGTGTTGTGTAAGTTTGGGGGAGGGGAGGTGGCCGGGTGGTGGTGGTGGTTGGGTGGTTGCTTGGTTTTTTTAAAAAAATTCTTTAATAATAATAATTTATTAATTAATTAATTAAATTGAAAAAACCACTAAAACAGTGACACATGTTACGTTAACCTTCAAAAACAGGTTACCAACAGGTAATGTCTTGTTTAAAATTGACACCCCCCAAAGGTTATATTATTAAGACTTAATCAAAAGGTTGTATTATTAAAAAAGAACGGGCCAAAGGTTGTATTATTTTCCGCAATTTTTCCTTAAAAAAAAGGAAGTCCTAGAGGGCATTATGTTCCATTAATAAAAGTCATACGACATCTACAATTGACAATTAACGATAATGAAAACAATTTAACAAAATCAAATAAGAATTAATCGGAGAAGTGCTAAGAATCCAAATACATAGATTTAACAACTCGGCATATTCTCGATTCATTGTCTAATACAACTTTTTGAGTGGATCCGTCGACACTTCATAATTTTGTAGGGAAGAAAATTCTTATGGTGATTTTGTAACCCGAGTCCAAGTAATAATCCATCATAGCCCCACAAAATTGGAGACCCTATCAGACGTAAATAAAATCTTGTCTTTCAAAGAGGTTCGAATATACTTGTCTTTTGAAGAAGATTGGAAAAATCTCGACTTTTGAAGGAGACGTTATTATTAGAGAAATCCCCAGTTTATCTTCTTGATAAACCAAATTTGTTTATCAAGTAGAATCGTAAAATAATAAACAATTTTGTCTAGCCTTTATGACATTTTGGTAAATAACTCAAAAATTGTAGGACCCATATACGTTAAAAAAATAAAAAATAAAAAAAAATGATTTTTATTTACATTTTTGTCGGTTTATATAGTCAGCAAGATATTTTGGTAAATAAAACAAATAATTGTAGGACCTATGACAAAAGGTTGTTAACTTATTTACATTTTACCATTTGATAAACATATTTTGTTTATCAAGAAGGGTAAAATCCGATGAAGACCCGTTCAACATTAACAACAGACGCTCGGATTTAGGAGAGAGAAGAGAGGGAAACTAGGAGAGAAGGCTAGGTTGGCATATTCATACATTCTTTTCCACCTTGATATAATGTAATATATTTCCCTTTTGCGTTTAAAAAAAAAAAAAAGAATTGTCTTTTTCTCATTTTTTATTTTTATTCATTTATTTTTTTTTATGAACACTTCAATCATATTTGGAGTGTATAAAGTACAGACGTATAATGATATTCGACATTTCTAAATATTGTGTATCAACTTAACTTTTTATGGTAAAGTTTTTTTTTTTTTTTGATAAAAGAGCTATCAAATAAAAAAACAACCAAAAACAACAAATGTCAATCCAAAAAAAACTAAAACAAAAAATACAACAACTGACGCCGCCGGGCACAACCAGCCAACCAGTGAGCAGGAGTAACCCACATACGAGGAACCTTTTGAACCTGACAGACCAAAAGAGACTGAACACAAGCCCGCAATTCCTGAATAAGCCACCAAGCAGAAATTTTCATTGAGCCAGAAGGAGGAAGAAGAGTAAGGAGGGCAGCACAATCTGTATAAACCCGGATTTTTAAAAAACCTTTGCGAATAGCATACTCCAAACCCCATATACAAGCTTGAATCTCATACTGCAACGCTGAACATGCCATAAAAGCCCGACAACCACCTCCCATGACCTCAGAAGAATGAAGATCACGGACTATCCAGCCTGCTCCCGCCCTATAAGTAGAGCAATCCCAAGCCCCGTCTACAATCAAACATGCCGTTGGAGAAATATAAGGTAACCCCCGCAGACACAGCCACTTGACATCATGCCTAGCCTCCAAACTAACCGAACGAGAAGACCTCGTAAACCTCTTCCAATCTAGAGCCTGCATATTACGAATAACCCAATCTGACGCCAAACCAAAAATTGACCCAGGGGACCAAACAGCATTCCTAAACCTCAAGTGATTACGAGAAATCCAAATCGCCCAAAGGAGAGAAAAAAAACGAAGCAATGCCCTTCCAATTTCTTGATGACGAAAAAAGAGAAATTGTACCTGAGAACCAAATACTAAACGAAGGAAACTGCATAAGATCCCGTTGGATTCCCAACGCCCTAGATAACCAAAGACTACAGATAGCAGGACAATCTCTGAATGTATGAGATACAGATTCCACATCCGCATGACAAAATGCACAAATTGGATCAACAGGGAGGCCTCGAGAATTGAGAATAGTTGCTAAAGGAAGAGCGTCGTGCAGCAATTTCCAACCAAATATTTTCCAACGAGGAAGAATTGGTAAAGCCCAGAATTTCCTCCACCATGCTTGAGAGATTTGAGATGGACTACCAGACATTACCCTAGGCTCACAAAGAAGAGCATAAGCAGATTTCGTTGTAAAAACTCCATCCCTAGTAAACTTCCAGTAAACAAAATCATCCATTAAACGCACAGGTCGATCCAAAGAAAGAATTCTAGCAGCAGAACTAGAATCAAACAACCCGTGAATAATAGTAGCATCCCACGCGCAAGAACGCGGATCAAGTAAAGAAGAAACAAGAGTCGGTCGAACCGACTCAGACGGAAGATTCTTAAAATGAAATGGTCCCCCCGGAACCTTATGGTAAAGATTGTTACAAAAATAATTTTCCTCTTCACCGTTCAAATCTAAAGCATCCCAAAGACCCAAAACTAAAACAAAATTAGTGAAATATAAACAACCCTTTGCCAGATATTTCTTGAAACAAAATTAACCAAGCCCCTAAACTAGGTTCTTAATATGTTTTAAAACAAAAAAATAAGGTTCTTATTACACCTATGAAACCATTTAAGTCAGGGATCAGCCCCACATTGAAGTCGTTTACAATAATGAATAATGTTCCCAAACAAAATACTACCTCCGTTTTATAAAATCTGCAACAAAGGGCCTTGCACAATTTCCAAGGCAAAATTTTTTAAGTAAAGATTAGTAAACAAAAGGGCATGTGATTTATTGGATGAGAGAGAAAATACCCCACCACAACCACCCAAAACCCAACCAGCCAACTCGCACCACCACCAGACCACCAGACCACCGCACCAGGCCATCACCACAACCAGACCACCAACAAATGAAGCCCCACCTCACCCAACCAAAGAACCAAAACCCCCTTACCACCACCAAAAACCCACCCAACCACCACGAACCAAAACCCCAACTCACCACCAAAGGACCAAAACCCCCCTTACCATCACCAACGAACCCACCCAACCAAATCGCAGACCCCCAATCGCAAAACCCTAAATCGCAACCAAATTGCAGACCCTCAAATTGAAGACCCTCAAATCACAACCAAATCGCACGGCCACCAAATCGCCATCAAATCGCACGACTTTGAAAAGGGTGAAAGGGGCGGGAGAACTGACAGGGTGACATGAAAGAGTTGAACGACGACAACTTAAAATTGGAAACAGAGGCAGCGGTTTCGTGGTTGTAAGAGAAGAGAGAGACTTGATCTGAGTGGTGGTAGTGGTGGTTTTGTGCTATTAGTGGTGGTTCAGAGGGAGAAGAGAGAATAAATGGTGATGTTGGTGGTCAATGTAGTTGTGAGGGACTAGAGAAAATGTAGAGGAGATTTTATGAAACGGAGGTAGTAATTCAATTCAAAGCACAACTAAAACATTATGCTCAATAGTGATCAAACGCAAGGATATATACAAGAAATCCCACTTAAAAAAACCACTAATTGTATCAACTCACAAGAAAAGAAAGTGCATCATGAACACAGAAAATTCCTTGACGGTTTCATGTAGAAAAATTACTTCATAATTGAGAACCTGTTCAACTTAAATGTAAACCTGTAATTGATATCAACATCATCCGATGAAAAAAATATAGAGAAGAAACCATCAAGGGAAGCTAACACAAGAACATATTATAGAACAAAAAATCAAGCTGTGGTGTACAAACACAAAGGAAGAATTGCCTAAACATATCCTTTTCATTCAGCATCCTCAACACAAAATTGTAATAAAGAGACTTGAAACAATCTATTAATTGTGTCTGACGCAAGTTGAGACCAAAAACTTCAATTCTAGGTAGATCCAAGAAAAGAAAAAACACCACAAATAAGACACATATTCCTACTGCCTCAACCATAGTTACTCCTCTTCAACAATCCTTCCCTTCTCGCTCACGTAGATACCGTCGAGGAACTTCCTGATATCCTTGTTCTTAACATGACATTTCTGATCAAATAGAAACACTGCAGTTAGAAAACTTGTAATACAGCATCAAGATTAAAATGTAACCACAAACAATGATCCAAACATACCTGGTTAATCAGAGCAGCAGATCGAGAAACAAGTTCAATGTCGCTTCCATCCAAGACAAGCTCATCCTTAACCTTCTCGGACCTCAAGATGGTAACACCTTCCAACATGTCAACCTTCCTGACCTGTAAACATTTAATGCAGCACAGGTCATGTAAAAAAACCCAGTTGAGATAATGTGTAAAAGTAGAAGTAAACCGATGACAATAATCAAGTTGAGAAAAAACAGGTTATACGACTGAGGTCTAATCATCTAAAGGTCAGCAAGAAATATACAAGTAAATGAAGAGGCACGATCAGAAGATAAATTGTTGTAAATAGTTCAGTTATATTGTGAAGAATGATGGATTGATGGTAGAGACACCTTAAACAAATATACTAGCTTTATAATTTCGAACAAGCCAAACTTCCTGGGCGAAAAAACAAACTAATAATCACCTAGTTAAAGTCCTAATTCAACGAAGGGAGATATCATTAAATAAAACTAGGTTGAGGGTTACTTATTAAAGTTCAAACAAAGATATCAACATAAAGAGCTGGACACAATGACACAAGGAAATTCAACATTGTTCAGTTATCTAATAATGGAGATAGATATATGTATCAATTTCAGCTACCCTCTTGTACATTGCAATTTATTTCAATTTTAAATGACTGAATATTAATTTGAGTTACATTTACAGTACTATACACTACTATCAATACAAATAATTTACCGGCACAAAATCACAGACTGTTTAATCAAAAACTGTTTATTAAGCACAAATCACAAACTAGTATTGCTTTATGGCAATCAGAAGTTCATGGGTTCATACTTCATAGCATAATAAAAATTCTAGGTCCAAACAGATAATACCTATCAAACATAAAAATAATAAAAACACAATAGCTTCCATCGGCTCATGACATACGACGATAACATTAAAATCTCAACCAACTCAAGTTATATAGTTGCTAAAGTAGTGACAACAATTAGATACCATATCATATTTGATCTAAACAGACCACAATACTACATCATCCAAAATCATGAATCCAACAGAGAAAACCAAAATAAAGTCATAAACATCAGAAATTCAATCAAATAACAATTCCTAGTAAACAACAAACGAACAGCTCCAATTACTACTGAAATAAATTAAACACATAGAATCTATAAACAGAACACATACAAATTCCAAAATCATATATTCAAGGTAAAAAAATCAAAATTTATACACATCTAAAATCCAATAAAACATATCCGGAAAAACTTATGGCAGGCCCAATTATCTTATAAAATAAACCAAACAGATAAAAAAAATACCAAACAGAACAAAATCATAAATTTCATAGAAAACGAAATACGAAATTGCAATACTAAATTCATCAAAAAAAAATAAGAGAAAAAATAAATACCCTTTTCTCGCCAAGAAAGTTACGGATCTCAATACTCTTGTTAGAGTTTGTAATACTAGCATTGATGGGAAAATGAGCGTAAACCATCCTCATTTTGTATCGATAACCCTTGGTAACACCAGTTATGAGATTCTCAATATGACTGATAGCAGTACGAATAGCAGCAGAAGTTTTCCTGGTACCGAACCACGAATCAATGTTCAACTTCTTCTTGCCTTCTTCATCAGTAACCAATTGAAAATCGAGGTTCAGATGCTTGAAGTTGCGGGTGAGAGTACCCCTTGGACCAGAAACGACGATGATCTTAGCGTCGACTTTGATGTCTATCCCATCTGGGATTTCCATGGAGTCGGAGGATAGTACTTGCTTCATTGTTGATGGTGTTGATTTTCTCTCTCCTAGGGTTTTTTTCGGGGGTTAGGGTTTGAGGATGAACAACTGAAGAAGAGGCGTTGGAGTGGAGGAAGAAATGAGGATTATATAGTAAGGGTTTGGGGGCCGCTGTTAGAAAGCTAAAACCCTAGTGTTTTTTATTTGGGCTTTGGGCTATATTTTTTGGGTATTGGTTTTACTGAGAGTTTGGATACTACTCGTGTAATTCGTATAAATTGATTTCCACGGCGACATGAAAATTTATACCTATCGATTCAGGTCAACGGGTTAGGTTCGGGAAAGATTTCGGGTCGTGCTAAAAGGCTATCTCAATAGTGTTAAAATTTAGTATCATCTATCTATAATGTGTAGTGCTGTTAAATTTCAAACCGAAACCGTTTAACTGCCCGAAACCGACCGACCCAAATGAGAATCGAACCGATTAAAAATCGATTTTTTTGAAATCGAAAACCGACTCGAACCGTATTTTAGTAAACCCGAAACCGAATTGACCCGAATAATGTTAAACCGTATAAGAACCGAACCCGTTAACAAACCGAATCGAATATAAACCGAACTGAAAGAAAACCGAATCGAAAAAGAACCGAACCGTATCTAACCCGAAACCGTTTAAACTGGCAAAAAAACCGCTTACACCGAACCGTTAGCAAACTGCTACCCGTTTGCAGCGAACCATTTAAAAACCAAACTGATTGTAAACCGAACTGGTTATAAACCAAACCGTTTATGAACCAAACCGCTTCTAAATCGAACCGTTTACAAACTTTTTTATATAATTAAACGGATTTTTTTTTTTACGGGGATATAATTAAATGGATTAAATATTAGAAATCTTAGAATATTTTTTTTAAAATAGCAAGGCAAATCATTCATTAAGGTCTTAAGGATAATCAGTGTTCACAAACAAGAGCAAAACAAGCGGGCTCAGGCCCTACCTCAAACTATTAGCAACACTACTGCCTCTAGTCATGTATACATTTGAGGTGATGAAACCAAATGAACAAAAATCTTGTAATATTAAGTACCAAGGCTTGGCTGAAGACGTAATAAATAAAATTAATTCACAGAGTATAAGCATATGATTACATTGATTCTGTGAGTAATAATGAAATAAAGATGGGAGTGTGCTAGTGACATGAATATAATATTAGGCTATGTTTTAATTCAGATTCAACTATAATTTATTAAAATTTTAAATGGAACCGATATGAATAACGTTAAAGTGGTTAAACAATCGAAGAACCGAACCAGTTATAAAATGAACCGAAAAAGAACCGAACCAGTTAAAAATTGAACCGAAAAAGAACCGAACCAGCTATAAACTGAACCGAAAAAGAACTGAACTGTTTCTAACCCGAAACCGTTTCCAACCCGAAACTGTTTGAACCGGGATAAAAACCGTTTACACCGCACCGTTAAAAACCGCAACCCGTCTGCACCGAACTATTTACTACCCGGACTGTTTACAACCCGAACCGAATTAAAAGCGCTTAAGAATAAACCGAAACCGAATCGAACCGATAATATTTAAACCGAACCAAAACCGACCCGTGAGACAATTAAACCGATTCCAAACCGACCTGATTAAATATCAAACCGATTTCAAACCGAACCGAAACCGAACTGTCAAACCGTTTTGACAGTGCTAGATGGGATATAAGTTTATTTTTGTAGAGATGGATAATTGTTACAACCTTATACAACTAAATAATTAATCTTAACCTCATGTTTTGAGGCCATAACCTTATATTAACTATCATTAATTATTAGAAATAAACAAGCAAGGTTATGTTTCATCCTTGTGTCACAAAAGGGTTTGAAATAAAAAGGTTCACGAAATTATAAAAGAAAGTAATGTTTGTTAAAACTTTATTTCTGAAGTCATCTTAAAATGAAATAAAAAGATTCTTAAAATAACACTTAGAATTAAGCCTGGTTAAAACTCTTATTTCTAAAGTCATTTTTAAGATAAGATTAAAGACATTTTAATTAAAACTCCATAAGTTAAGAAGTATATATATAATATAGTGTAATATAAGTTTCATACCACCATTAATACAATTTTTAAAAAAGCAATTAAGAGAAAAACGTGCATATTTCATCTATTTGATAGCTTGAACTAAAAAAATCATTAAAAACCATAGAAAAATAGAAAAACTTATTGTGAGATATGGTTGGAAAGCTCTTGAAAAGTTCTAGCACTTGAGCTAAAGAAATGGAACGGATTTTGGTTGTAAGGGTTGTTTCACAGGCCATCTTTGGGTCGTGGTAAGTAATTCTTTACTCTTGAACAACCTTTGCTTAAACTCTTAATTCCTTGGGTCTTTAAGCTCACTTTAAGAAATAAATCATTCCTTAAAATATATATTAGGCAGTCACATGAATGTATTAACCTTTCATATTTAAAATGCATTATAAAGAGATGCAATGCAAAATGCAATTAACCCCCCTCTTTGTAACCTATCACCTCACCAATAGGCTTGGCTTTCTAATATGGAGTAATGAAAGATTTAGGGCTAATTTAGCACCTAATATCTTCATTACCCCTATTGGTAACATCACATGAAAACAAACACATTAGTTAGCATAATAATAATAATTAAGGAAATTAAGAAAGGAATAAAGATAATACCTCGAACTAGATGTAGCAATTTTTTGGATAACCCTTATTACTTATCAAGGATGAAAAGATGATCACTCCTTAATTAAAGTGCATTAAAAGAGACTAAGTGATTTTTTGGATTTTTGAGATATTAAAGGAAATTAATGCAAAAATAGAGTTAAAGAACTTTTTTTTATTTTTTATTTTTGATTGGAGGAAATAAACATGAAAAATAAAGCTAAATCTTGAGAAACAAACCCTTTTTTTTGTTTTTAATATAGACTAGAAATACTTAAGCAATTAAACTATTATTTTTTTAACAAGGATAATAAAGAAAAATAATGCTTGAACTTGAAATATTTTTGTGTTTTTTATAGGAATTAAAGATGATAACAATACTTAAATAAAAATAACAATATCAAGTTAATTATAAGATGCTTTTAATAAGCTAATAATTTAGGAATAAAGCTAAATTAGAGAGATTTTAGCTAAAGCAAAGATTAGAGGAGAAAATTTCTTTAGAGAGAATTTTAGAGAGAGAATTTGTAGGAAGTTTTTGGTGTTTTAAAACTTGAGAATTAGGGGGGTATTTATAGAAAAATAAAGGGTTAATTTGTAAATAAAAAAAAGTAAATAAATTAAAATTCAAGGATTATTTTGGTAGATATCAAGATTTTGGTAATAATGAGAATCTTGATATTAAACTCTTTCGTTTTATATGTAACAAACTTACCTAATCTGTTTTGCAACACTTAAACTGATAAAAATAAAGAAAACTGTAATAAAATCAACTCTAATATTCAAATAAAAAGGTTCTAAAATTCCATGGTAAAAAATATAAAATATATGACCAAGTCATGTCACAATTAAAAAAATAATAATAATAATAATACTCACAAGGTATATAATAGCAGAGTGCCTAAATTTATTTATTGACTATTATACTCACCAAGGTACTAAAACAACACTTATAAAATAAATATCAGCTCTGAGATGCCAGCTCTGAAAATTACACAAAGACATTAAATTACAATACTAATAGAGTTGGACAAAATATTTTAGAGTAAGTAAAAAAAAGTAAAAAGAAAAATAACCTCTGCCCTTATTAGATAGTAAATATAAATTTACGCAAGAACATCTAAACATACGACAAAACCTTATAAATACAAGCATTTTAAATAATAACCCTTATTAAAAATATAAAGTAAAGTAAATCATATAAAATCATAAGATTGACATGGTCAACGTGAAAATATATCATACAATATTAAGTCATACAACATAAATTTAAGGTGGTCAAGAGTAAAAAAATATTCCCTTGACCGAATGACCTTAAAAAAAAAAGGTGAACTCTTACCTTGCCTTACTCTACTAAAACACAAATTTATACTTATCATAGTCGAAAAAAAGATAAAAGATACAAAACTAGATCAAAACAACAAGAAAACAAATAAAACAGAAGACCAAATTCACGTCGGCGAAGCAAATCAACGTAACGGAAATTACTATTTGGAATAGTATCAAATAGTGTTTTGAATAGGGTCAAATAGTATTTTGAATAGTGAAATGCAATATATGACACGTATGAAATCCAGTTTTCCCAATTAGCGTCAGATAAATATTGATGCAATTGGTCCAAATTGAAATTTACTGGATACAATATTAACCAAGGGGGGAAAAAGGTGAAGTTATTTCACTATTGACAATTGCTTATCTAAACTGACGAAAGAATACACACACTAGATTGAATAAACAAAAAAAAGATAAAGAATAAAACAAAAAAAAAAGGAAAAAAGAAAAAAAAAGAAAAAGAAAAAAAATGAAAAGAAAACAAAATAAAAAGTGAATGTCAGAAGCTCAGAACTCGTTTATTAAAATGTGAACGTCAGAAGCTCATAACTCATTTATCAAAATGTGAATGTCAGAAGCTCATAACTTATTTAATTTTGGTGAAAGGAATGTTAGAACCCATTAAATTGTGGAGAATGAACAGAAGTAAGATAACAAAAGTGAAGAAAATCATGCAACATCATTCACAGAAACTCAATACACGATCCGAATTTTCAGCTGTCTTTACTATTCATACATACTTCATTTCTACGCGTTGTATTCACAAGTATTTCCCGTTTACTCTCGTCCATACAATACTCAATTATCCTTAAATAAATATCGATGGGTTTGGTCCGAACTTATATTTATCGGGTCAACTATTAAGTGCGGGACAAAAAGACAAAGACATTATAATAAGCGTACATAAAATGAGGTCCCTTTAATGCTACAACATATAGTACCCATTTAGGTGTTGGGATTTTTGTCATTTCCCTATACTGGTTGGACACGAGTCTTTAGAGTAGTGGATTTTATTGCTTAGGTAAACTGGTTATATAATAGAGTAGTGCACAAATTGCAAAAATCACTAGATAAAATAAAAAGAATAAAACTTACTCTAGTAAGTGAACATACGAATAT